TATATATATAATATATATATATCACACGAAAAAGGTGATACAAAAAATATTTAAATTCTTAAAACATGGACACGAAAATGTAAGAATGCGAAAATGGATAATCTTTGAAGAAGACTCATCATAACTAACGTATCCAATTACATATATTTCTGTAACATATTTTTTTATATATCTTTCGCAGTTTTTGTTTATCATTTTGGGACGTCGATCCAAGTTCTTTTTTATGCAACGTGAACTTTTATGGAATCGATTGCAGCATGCCACGTGGTGAGATCACGAGTCGACACGTGAATAAGGAATAGATACTTTGCTTGAGAGGGAGAGCGAGTGGAGCCCACGCGCTGGACCCCGCAACTCAAGTATTCATTGGGTATGCCCCAAATAATCTCATTCATGGACGAATCATATCGTATCCATCGTCTTTCGTCGTCTTCTTGTCTCATTGGCTTTATCGGAAGTCCCAAACTCCAAAAACTTTGATTCTCTTTGCTTTTGTCTGGTTGTGTGAAGATCACGCCGCTATTTCTGAACACATCTGACGGCTCATCTTCTCCGCCTGGTCCCACCTAGGATCGATCACGGCCGTTGGATCCGCAAATAAAGCCGATTTGGAGAGTGTTGGTCAAGTTGACGTGGGCAGACACACATTGTGGGGTCCCAGGAAATTGGAACCACCGACGGTCCCAAGGCCACGAGGCCCACAACCCTATGTACACAATAAATGTAGGTGTATGTATATATGTATGCATGTATATAGATTATCAAGGAGAAATGATTTATAGATTTGGGTTATGTATTTTCTGCTCTCATGCATACGTTACGAAAGATTCTATTTATTTCCATTCATCACAGCAATTTTCATTTCCCCATTCATATAGATATTTGTGGTTATATAACTCGCATAAGATGTCCGATTTCCAAATCACACTACAAAAACGCTAAGCTTTATACGAGATTTCTTACGAGTCATAGACTATAGCATAGCTTCAAATTGAAAAGAAGAAAATGGTCACATGACATGGGAAAAAAAAAAGAGAGAATGTTTTTTTTTTAATTTTCTAGGAATGGAAAATTCGACAGGGATTGTGATAAAAAATATAAAAAAGGAATATGCCGTGTAATGAATAGTGGGGACAAAAAAAATGTGATAAAGAGATGTGAAGAAAAGCAAAGTCGAGCAAAAGGAAGTCGTCCCGTAGTTCACGCGGGAGTCGTATCTATATCTATATATATACATATATATACGTATTATACTATTGATGATTCAATTAACCAAAAAATATGATTATAATAAGAACGTACTATGTACACAGAGTGGATACGAACCCCTAACTCTATCATAAAAACTAATTCAAAAATAAAAATGTAATCATCAATTACATTTAAAAAAAAATGGGATTACACAAAGTGCTATCCACCCAAATTCAAACCCCATGGACCAACCTTTATCAAAAAAACTTGTACCGTGATAGTCAGATATTTTTTTTCTACTGTAGTTATATTACAAGAATAGATAATATCGAAATTAAAATGGGGTATCTAATTCCACTTCACGAGTAGAAGTAATAATATGAATGGAGCAGCAATCCCGAGGAGGGTGGCTTCTCCCTTCTTATTCTCCACCCTCCTCACCCCCTCCACCATTTCCCATCTCTCTCTCTCTCTCTCTTTCTCTCTCTCTCTGAAACCAAACATTTCGACTAATGGGTCTCACTTCTCTTCAGGTGTGCATGGACACTGACTGGATCCAGGTACGAACATATATATGTATATACAAGTGTATATGTGATATATATATTCCATACAGATCATGCATGCATATGTGTACACATGTATAATGCTCTCACATGTTTCAACATCGGATCTGTTGCATTCAACAATGCCACGGACACATTCTTGGACATTCACGCTTAGTCTTTCTCCATATCTCTAATTAAGACGTTTACATATAGGTTATTGATTTGCAGATTTTGTAATGACCCAATCGATGTATATCTCAATAGCATTTTTAATTGTGAAATCACTACAGTTTCGAAATAATTGCTTTTTCTATTCTAGATACGGTGTATATCCATTCATACGTGTTGTGGCTGCATTAATATACGTATAAGAATTTATGTATGTATGTATGCAATTAATGGCTTGTTCATGTGTTTAAATCTTCATACTTCTCCTAAGTGCAAACACTCAAGTCGATAACTTCGATGTACAGCAATATATATATATATATATATATATATATATATAATTATGACATTAATTTTTTGGTTTTGGCCAATATATATACATTTAGGAGGCGGAGTCGTCCGGCAGCATGTTAGATCACTCATCCACCTCCTCCCCGTCGGCGGTGGACATGCTCACCGCCTGCGGT